TATATATATATATATTCTCGCACACACTACACTAAGAGAAAATACAAACGTGACATGTACACTACCTTTCTTGAATCCAGATTCTGAGAGGAATGATAACTTAATGCATTTAAACCATTAAATTTATAAATAAAATATTAGTTGTATAATATATATTTTAACTTAAATATACATGTGTAATATGATCTTTTATTATAAATCAAACGATTTAAATGTAATAAGTTACGGCGAGTATGGATTTTCATACTTGATAGTTGATAGCATGTGATTCACTCAAGCATCCACAGAATTACCCTTCATAAACTCGACAAAGATTCCCTCATCGTCCGTCACCACCAAGCGGCTGACACCGCCGCCGTCAACACTGACCCCAACATCCCCACACGTGTCACTGCCACGTGCGCAGAAGACAACCTTGTACAAGTACTCAAAGGAAGATTTCTCGATCTTGAACCACCCACTCACCGTGCTCCGGTACCCGGGAAGTTTCACGGCTTCTCCTTCCGGCAACCCCTTCACGACGGTCCACTTCGGCGGACTGGGAGCACACGACGGCGCAGAAGCGAACGCCAGGCTCAGAATGAGGCCTTCGGAGATGTAAGCCACTCGATAAGGGGAGGAAATTCTGATGGGGAGTCCCCTGAAGGTGGCGCCGGAGGGAGATTGCACCACGCTGAGGGGACAGCTTTCGTTTCCGGTGGTGGCTAGTTCGATTCCGCCATCCTTTACTCCGAAGAGAGGGAGGATGTGGTACGTGCCGCCGTTGCGAAGGGCGTCGCCGTCTCTGTCGGTGACGGCGTCGGCGATGGCTGAAGTGAGGGCACAAAGAAGGAAGAGGGTGAACATGGTTGAAGAAGCAGTGGTTGTAGCACTCAACTCCATTTCTCTTGTGTTGGTTCAACCATGCAGTTTCTAAGAGCCTCTATTTATAATAGTTACATCAAAGGCTAAATTGTAATTTTATCTTTGACTTTTTTTATTTTAATATTTAGTATCCAAATTTTGTATTTTTTTAAATTAGAAAATATAAATTTCTATTTTAAAATAGGAGGACTAGAAGTGTTATATAATTTATATGTGAAAATATTATTTATTATTATGAATTTTAATTAATATAATTTAATTTATCTATTGAAAAGTATTTACCATAAATTTCAGTTATACAAAATTAACGACTTATATAAAGAAATACATATATTAAAACATTATTATAAAATGTGACAAAATATTAAGATTTTGGTGCAATGAAACGGCTGGGTTAGTATCTTACAATGTGACAAACTAATTAACGTTTAAATTTTCACCGAAAGAATTAAGAAGTGTTTATATTTATGGGCAGTATCCCATACAAAATTATCTCCAAAGAATAATACCTCTATAATAGAAATCTGATTAAAAAAATTAAAATGAGATTAATTATTATTGTTTAAGCATGAAAGATAAATAAACATATTTTCATATATATAGGAAAAAAAATAGATGGATACATAAATAGGGCCAACTCAGGGATGTTTGACATCTTAATAAAGAAATATATTAATACGTTTAATAATATAAAATATATTTTAAAATCATATTTCTTATTTTCTTTAATAAAAATATTGGTGGTAAATTATTAATAAATTCAAAATATTCAGCAATATAATTTGAAAACTATTTGCATTTCAAATATAATTTACTATTTTTATAATATTTAAAAGGATGTTTGAATTTATAGTGTCTTTTAAACTTTTTAATTGAAAAAAATAGTTTGAGAGAAACTAAGTCATGTTACAAAGTAGTTTTACATTTTTATTCTACTGCAGTTCATATTATATACGGTCACTTTGTTAACTTCTATAATATTTGCTTTAAAAGTCAAATTAATCATAATTTTTTATTAGCTAATTGTATAAATTTTATATTAATAATTTTTTATTATTCTATTGCAGCTCATATTATATATAGGTACTTTGTTAACTTTTATTATTTGTTTTGAAAGTCAAAATAATCATAATATTTTATTAGTTAATATTATTTAATTGTGTAAATTTTCCATTAGTAATATATAGCTATTATTTGGAACACTAAATTTTTTTTTTCAAATCTCCATAACAAGAATATCTTTTTAATAAGAATGAGAATGGGTTGAGTTGAGTCATACTTATCATTCTTTATATTTAATTAATTTTTAAATTTAACTCGGACTCGATCAAGAATCAAAATAATATGTGATAAAATTAGGTCAATTCAACTTTATTACACTATGTTAAATTTAAAATAATGTATAGTTAAATTGTAATTGCATATAACATCATCTTATAGAAAATATTAATAAATAAATAAATTTTTTTATTATAAATGCAAAAACAACTAAAAAAACTTATACTTTAAGAAAATATTATGTATTAAACTAATTTGAACAACTTAATATATATAACTCAAACGCATCCTAAAAAATGCACTAAGGTCAATTTCAAATTCAAAATAAATCAATTCGAGCTAGACAAGTTAACGAAACAGGTTGGATCATGTTCACTCCTACTCTCCAACACTCTAACACAGTTTTTGAATTAGTTAATTTTTTTAAAATTACAATATGAAATAAAAATTCATAATATAAGATGTAAAATTTACTAAATTTTAACCTAAATTAGAAAATATGTTAAAAAAGATTATTAGACAGTATATTTTTAACATTTCTAAAAAAATTAAAATACTCTTCAACTAATTAGTAGTAGCTTCCAACTGTTAGACAGCTGTGGCGGCCAGCTTTGGACGGAAGGTCCGACATTG